GGCCCGCCCATCTGATTCGGTTTGCTTTAATGTATCATACTATATTTTTAACTCCATATACTGTCAGGAGTTCATCGTTGTGTCTTCTTCTCAATTTTCCCGTTTCTCTTCTCTGCAAGGCCCATAGATAGTTCGCAGTATATCACTTTCTTGTACCAGTAACTTTGTCGTTTCAAGCTGGTTCAGAGTCCATGTCTCGCTTCCATACGTTATTGTGGGACGAATTATTGTCTTATACACTAATTATTTTTGCTGGTATTGAGAGTATTTTTGGTTTAAGTACGGTCATTAATAAGTAATATGCCCTGTTTCCTGCAATGATCCTGACTGCCACGTCCTTTTCATACTTATTTTCAGATGTTATGATCTCTCCCAGGTACTTGAATTCTTTGACGACTTCAAAGTTGTATTCAGTGATTGTTACCTTTTGTCTAACCCTTGGCCTTGAATTCTTCATAACCACCACGTACTTGGTCTTGTCCTCGTTGATCTTCAGACCAACTTCCTTGGCTCCGTTTTTGAACAGGGTGAAAACTTTTTTTGCATTTCTGGTGGATTGTGCAATTGTGTCCACGTCATCCGCAAACGCCAATAGTATTGTTGATCCTTGGACGGCAAATCCATTTGTCAGTTGTAGTTGAGCTTTCTTTACCACATGTTCCAGTGCAAAATTAAACAGCAAGGGGACCAGAGGATCTCCTTTTTTAAGCCCGGTGTCAATGAGGAATTCCTCCGACGTGGTGCTGCCAATTCTGATCCGTGCGGAAGCGTTCTCTGTGCTCACCTTTGCTAATCGTACCAGCTTTCCAGGTACTCCCATTTCTACCATGGTCTCCCACAATTCTTCTCTTTTAACAGAATCGTAAGCTTGTTTAAAGTCCACGAAGATTTGGTGTACATCGCGGTTGAATTCCCAGTTTTTTCCAACACCTGGATCCGCTTTTGTATTCGCGTATTTGTATTTTTTCTTCTGCGTATGAAGTTAGTCTTCTAGCCGGTATTGTTGCGTAGCAACAATATTTAATATTTTTATTTAATTTTGTATCATTTATTATATCACACTGTGTATTAGTTTAGATTTATAAAATTCCTTTGTATCATCTACTAATTTGTACGGCGTCGATAGCTTGCATTGAATAACTTTCTAAACGTAGTAAGCTTCTAAAACCTTTAAAGAATCTAACAATGAAAGGATTAGTATTTTCCAAATTATGGGTTTGAGTCATTTGAAATTTCCCAACAATAACAAAAGTTATCCTTCTCAGGTTTTTGAGGTATTTGAAATGTAAACATATTCTTTATATACGTAGAGAGGTTCAGGGGGAGATTTCTGAATCTTTAGATACAATTACAAGCCGAGGAATTGAAGGAAGTGATCAGTATCAGTTCAAATTCCAGCATTGGATGAGCGCTAGGCTCTACTCGCCCCAGCGGCACTTTAGAAGGTTAACACCGTCGGGATATTAATAAGTTTACTCAGTTCGTGTCAATATTGTATCACCGAAAAGTTATCTAGTTTTATAGTTTCATAAAGTTTAGTTTCATAAATCAGCTATCGTAAGCAAGTTATCGGCGTCCAAAATACGTTGTAATTGTTTAAATAGATTTGTTAAAACGTTCTTTTCGAATCTTTCATTTGTCCCGGTTTGATATTCCCCGACAATATTTTCAGTTAGTTGTTGGAGTCGTTTGTTTAGTATGTAAGTAAAAATTTTGTACGCCGTGCACAAGAGGGTTATGTCGCGATAATTTTCTTATTTCAGTCTATCTCCTTTTTTATAGATTGGGCATATAATCCCGGTTTTCCAATCATTAGGGATCTTTACATCATTCCAAATCTTGTTTATGAGCATATGCATTTGTCATACTAGGTGATCGCCACCTAATTTATATAGCTCAGGGGGGACGTTGTCAATACCTGGAGCCCGTTGTTCTTTTGTGCTCGTATTGCCTGTGTTACCTCTTCCTTCGTTGGGGGGTCTATATTTTCGGTGTCTCCCTCATTGTGATGTATGTCCAGATGTCATTCATTTTCTTGTGCCCCTAAAAGAGTTTGGAAATAGGTTTTCCAGACTGATTTTATTTCTTGTGGACCACTGGTTATTTGCTCTTCTTGTTTTCTGCATAGATTTGTTCGGGGTTTGTATCCTTCTCTTAAATTGCGTAGATATCTGTACGCCTGTCTTATATTAGAAATTGAGAGACATGGTCAGAATAATCAGCCAAAAAATCTATTTAGAAAAATACGCTACCTGGCAAGAGACTTCAGAGCCAGAACTTGGGCCATTGAAGATAACACTGGAACCCTGAGAACAAACAGAGAAGACATAGCAGAGACATGGAGATCGTATTGCAGGGACCTATATAAAGATGATCAACGCCAAGAGCTTGTTAGCAAAATCTCTGACGAGGTGGAAGAATAACCTGATATACTCGAAAATGAAGTAAGACAGGCTATCAACAAGCTCAAATATAACAAAGCACCAGGTCCAGATATGATAACAGCAGAAATGCTTAACGCCACAGAAGAAACCGGCATAAAGTTACTTCATCTACTCTGTAACCAAATATGGCATTCCAAACAATGGCCTGAAGACTGGACAAAATCCACAATAACGACCATACATAAAAAAGGCAGCTTCTTTAAATGCGACAATTATAGAACTATCTCTCTTATATCCCATGCCAGCAAGATAATGCTAAATATAATCAATGAGAGACTGAAAACATTCCTTCAAAGAGAAATTCCACAAGAGCAAACTGGATTTACCAAAGACAGAGGCACTCGAGAAGACCTGCTGAATATAAGACAGATAATCGAGAAATCTAGGGAATTCAACATTCCACTATACATCTGTTTTATAGATTACCGTAAACACACAACATCTAATTACGCTTATAACTGAACTATATGAACACACTACTGGATCAGTTAAAGTACTTGACACACTTTCGAACGAGTTTAATCCAGAACGGGGTGTCAGACAAGGATGTATACTATCTCCACAATTATTCAACATATATGGAGAGTATATTATGCGAAGAGCACTTGAAGGATGGGAAAAGGGCATTTTAATAAATGGTCATAAACTAAACAACCTACGTTTCGCAGATGACACAGCCCTTCTTGCAAATAGTCAAGCAGAGCTGATGGAACTTATACGACTGATCGAAAACGAAAGTCAAATATTTGGTCTGCAATTAAACATATCAAAGACAAAGATCATGATAGTGGATAGACTACACAACAATCATCCACACATAACCACAATTGACCGGTTCGAGGTTGTGAGCTCATACTTATATCTGGAATCATTAATCACAAACACAGGGTCATTAAAAGAAGAGATTAAACGTAGATGTGATCTAGCAAAAGTTGCCACAACAAAAATGACCAAAATATGGAAGGACTGTCAAATTTCAAGAGCGATAAAGATGAGGTTGATCAACTGCTTAATATTCCCAATACTGACCTACGGATGTGAATCTTGGACTCTGAGACAATCGGAGCGAAGAAAGATATACGCCACTGAAATGTTCTGTTGGAGACGAATGTTACAAATTCCTTGGACCGACCGTAGAACAAATACTCAATTTTAAGAGAGCTAAAAGTTAGCCAACGACTCTCTAGTAAAGTCCATCTCCAACAATTAAAATATTTTGGCATGTTATGAGAGCAAACACAGAAAACATGGAAAGACTCATAATACAAGGAAAGGTAGAAGGCCGAAGATCACGAGGAAGATCCCCAACAAGATGGATATATTAAATTACAGGAATATTTCAAAGACCTATGCATGAATTAAAAGAAATGACCAGAGACAGAGATCTCTGGAGACGGACAATACACGACATCACGTCGACCACTACCATCGAGCAATAAGACAAAAGAGGGAATCTAATCGTTATAAAAAGGAGACCAAAAAAGTGGCCTCTGATGGCGGACACATCCGGAAATGCAAAGGCGCTAAATTTAAATTTTCCAACATTTGTTAACAATAGCTATAAATTATTTTTCAGACTAGAAAGTTTTAACTAAATATTAACGATAATAGTCTAAAAAGTGACATAATTGGTAAAAAACTTCAAAATAAATAAAATTTCATGTGACAGTTTGAACAAACAATAACATAACCAAACTAAATTTGACTTCTTAAACAAGGAAAGAGACTGTCTATCCTTGTCTAAAGTGGCCTCTCAAGATGGCACTTCCTGTCTACCAATATGTTTACCCCTTCTACCTTTACATTCCCTCTTTTGTCTTATTGCTCGATGACCACTACACTCCCCCTGGGGGGGTCAGGATTGAAGAGAGAGAGATCTGTACGCCTGTCTTATATTGTTGCTTTGAAGATTTTCTTCCATTTTCTGTATACTGTAACTTGCCCTTCTTTCTCTGGTTCTTCTGTCCATATATTTCTTGTGTTCTTCATTTCTTTTCTGTATGGCCTTATTGAATTCGTCATTGAACCATTTCCTTTTTAGATATACCACTCCATATACCTTTTAGAGCCTTCAAAAACGTGTATACGATTTTTTAGCTGTTTTTTCCCTTTACTGGCCTACAATGAGGTGATAACGGTATGACAAGCTTTAATTCATAATACACAGGAAGATAAATGCAGGAAGGAACGTTAGAAAAAGGAGAAGTATATGGTTGAAAAATGAAGGGACTGTTGTAAATGTAGCTCAATGAAATATTTCTGTGCTGCAACAAACAAAATAAAAATAGATATGATGATATTCAACATACAACGGAAGACGGCATTTAAAACAAAAGAAGAAGCTTAATATTTGTGAAATCAAAATTCAGCCGCTAAAAATATCTAATAAACAATAACTTATATTATCTACAATGTTATAAAATAAGTATTACAAAACGAGTAACATTTTTGACATTTAAAATATAAAACACCTCGACATCGCTCATCATCTCGCTCCACGTTCGAGAACGCCCACGGGGCTACAGCCGATGGAAGCATCGCGACGCTGTGAGCGCCAGTTTTAACGACGATCTCGTGAAAAAGCGGCGACGACTATTCAGGTTGGTATTTTACACAAGAATTTGCTTTTTTTTACTTTTTGAATACTCTTTTTATTTGTACAGCATGTTGTTGTTATTTAGATCATGTCATTTTGTTTTTGTTGACGGTTTTCGAAGAAGGTTATGTCAATTTAGTTACTTAATTTTTACCCAAGAGGTGGTTCTTTATATTCTAACAATTTAAAAGCTTATTTATTATTCCATGTATTATTAATTTATTTTTTATATTTTTTTAAATAAACTTTTGTTATATTTACTCGAATTTTCATCGTTTTCTTTATCTTAGTACTAATTATACCTATGTAATAGTTTCTAGAACCTTTGAAGGCATTTCTATTTTCTATATATTTAGGATTTTACTTTTTTTATCTTAAATATCTTAAATTATCTTAAATTATCTTTATTTTTAATATCGCTTATGTTTTGTTATGTTGAAATGAAATAAAATACAACATATACAGTGCTAGTGTCTCAGAAATTCGTTTACAATTGGTGGTTGTTATAATCTTTTAATTTTTAATTTTTTTTTTGTAAAAATCCATATATAATCAAGTTCTTCGCTTGGCAGCATTTACTAAGTCCAAAATTGTTTGTCCTTGTTAACACAGACTCAATTTGTGGTAATCTAATTCTGTAACTTTTGGAACCAGTTTCGGATAGAATATTTTCAACTAATTGAATATGATGAACTGCGCAGTTTCAATAGCACACTGTCTTTATTAGCCTGAGGATGGGTTTTAAGTTCAAGTGGTCATTGGGCAAGACAATACATCATAACTGGTCTTATGATAGTTTTAAAGATTTTCTTAGTGTCATTAAAATGGTTCTACCACACAACACACCACTCGCTTCTTTCAACTTCATCCATCCCTCTGTAACTGTATTGCGCGTGTCTCCATTTACTCTCACATTATTCTGTTATACCGATCCTAGGTATTTAAAAATATTACTTTTTACAATCAGTTCACCATCTAATTATTCTCAATTTTAATTTTGTCATAACTTTTTATTCGAAATCCTTTTCAATTTTTCCTACTAACAAATTAGCAAATGCTATGTAAGAAACCAAGGAATTTTACCCTATAGCTTCACTGCCATCTCCTCCAACACTAATGAGAATGATTTAGTACTAAGCACCAAGCCCTGATGAAATCCTTCTTTTTCAGCTTCCCCACCTTCTCCTCAGTCCTAATTCCTTTTGGGATGTGGTGACAGCATCAGACCTTTACAGTTTTTTCACGATTTCCCTCTATCCTTCCCTGTTCTGGGCTAGTTGTTTGGCTTCATGTAACCCTTGGTTAATCAATATTTTTGTTTGATCTACCTAATGGTTTGGAGATCCTCCCCTAGGTCTCTTTCCTTCAACTCTACCCTCGACTATCTGTTTTTCCATCTTCTGTGCCTGTTCTTCTAGCAATGTGTCCAAAATACTGCAAATATATCTGTTGTATTTGTTTAAGCAATCTATCATTTACTTTAAGTTGTTTGTTATTCACTTATACATATCGCACGTAATCTTCATATACTCACGAGGAGTCCTTACTTACTGGAGCAACTATCACAAGACCTCCTGAACTCGTATTATCTTCTTCTACTTCTTCTTCAGCCTGTGTTCATCCACTGCTGGACATAGGCCTCTTCCATTTGCTTCCATCGATTTCTACTTTTGGCAATTCTCATCCACTACTTGCCCGCGACTTGTTTGATATCGTCTGTCCACCTCTTCTGCGGTCTGCCTACTCCTCGCCTGTTCTCTTTTGATCTCCAGTTTGTTAATCTTTGTGTCCATTTTTCGGGATTATCTTGGGCAACGTGTCCGACCCATTGCCACTTGAGCCTTGCAATACGTTCTGAATTAATTCGAACCTGTCGTTATTTCGAATCCTGTCTCTCAAACTAATCCCTAGCATGGCCCTCTCCATTGCTCTTTGGGTTGTACTGAGCTGCTCTAAGGTTTTCTTTGTGAAGGCCATGGTCTCCAGTCCATATGTAGTTACAGGCAAGATACATTTGTCATAAACTCTACGTTTTAGACACATTGGTATATCTTTATTCTTCAAAATAAAGCTTAATTTGCCGAAAGCTCCCCAAGACAGTTGTATGCGTCTTTTTATTTCGGCTATTTGATTTTCTTTGCCGATTTTAATGGTATGTCCAAGATATATATAGTGGTCTACATTTTCAAGACTGACGTTGTCAATAACAAGATTAGTTTGTAAATTACTCATTATTTTTGTTTTCTGAAGGTTCATTTTGAGACCTATTTTATTTGACTGCTGGTTTAATTCCTTCAACATTTGCTCGTATCAACTCGTATTATATTCAGAACAAATTAAACTAGTAAAAAAATTTAATTTTGAACTACCAAAAAATAAACAGTAATATTTTTTATGTTATTTAATATATTTGAATGTTATAGTTTAATTTTAAGAGTATTGCGGATTTTAAATACGTAAATCTAGGCCTAATTTCTTGGTATTGCCATGTGGCCAGCTCTCTCTATAGCATCAGTGACTCTTGATCTTCAATCTAATTATTTTCAGCACTTTTGTCAGTGTCATGGTCATCATTTGTGCTCCGTAGGCATCATCAGGGAAAGCTACAATGATGGTTATGGACTACCTAAGCTCTGACTTCACAATAGGTTAGGTAGTCCATAACCATCATTGTAGCTTTCCCTGATCATGTCTATGAAAATAGGCAAAATATATTAGATAATGCAAAAAGAGTATACTTTCTCTATCAGCTGTTTACCCAATTATTTCCTTCCTTTGAATTTAAATTTGAGTCAGCTGTTATATATAATATAATATAGTTTATATTTAACAATTTGATAGTTTCACATAGTTTTCAGTTGCATATTTTAGAAATTTTTTGAAGGTTAAATCATTGTCATTGTAACTTTAAACTGTATAGTAGTTTGATCCACAGATTTATATCCCCTTTTGAATGCGTTTAAAGAATATAGGAAGCTTTTTGTTTCATTAATATATTGATCCATTAACTTTGTTCCACTAGTATTCCACTTCTCACAAAATTTCTCTCATAAAAAGTGTCTCTTAATATATTTTTAGTTTCTTAATTATTTCCAGAGTCCTTATATTTCTAAACATCTGTATTATCTATCAACTAATCTCGGTGTAACGGATATTTCGAAATAGAGTGTTGAAAATTTCGAATTCTAAATTCATGAAAAATTGCCAGAAACTTGAGAGCCTGACTGCACGCAGTGCGAATACGGAGATTGTGGGATATCCGTGGAAACAACGTTATTTTTAATCAGGTGTAGGCATAAGCGGGTACATAGAGGACAGCATATTTTGGTAATAAATAAGAATAAATTGCATACTTGGATTATTTATTGCCAGGTTCTTTTTAAACCACATATTTTTTTGTAATTTATATAGGTATTGTTTATCAACACATTTTTTTATTTAATAACCCCACCAATAAGATGTTTGAGAACAATAATACAATCTGATCAAACAGTTTGATCCATGAGTAACTTTTTTAGCGTAAATTATTACTAAAAACTTGAGACTTAAAGCATACTACTACTACTAAGGATTTCCACAGTTTCATTGTCTTCCTTCACTTAACCGATTTCTCCAATTTTTCCTGTCATTTCAGTCTCCATCTCGCAGGGTTCTTTTCTCCTTAGCCTCGTCGATTTCTTCTCTGAATGACCTTCGGGGTCTTTCTCTCTTTCTTCTTCCCATCGGGCTCCATTCTGTGATTTTGTTTATCCAGCGTCCTCTGTCCGCTCTTCTGACGTGGCCGTACCAGGATAGTCTCTTCTCCTCTATATAGTCGATTATGTCTGATTGCACTCCCATTCTCCGCTCAATCTCTGCGTTTTCAATTCTGTCTCTTTTTGTAAGTCTACAGCTTCTCATCAGGAACTCCATTTCTACTGCTCTTATTCTACCTCTATTTCTCTTGTTTATTGTCCAGTTTTCGGACCCATATGTCACGATACTTCTTGTCAGGGTATTATATATTCTCTTTTTTGTCTTTATCGTAATGTTCTTATCCCACAGCACTGAATTTAGTTGTCTTATACAGTTTCTTGTTTGTCTTAGTCTGTTGTTTATATCTTCTTCTGTCGTTCCCTGGTTCGATATTGTGGTTTCTAAATACTTGAATTTATCTGTTCCATTTACTTGTCTTCCCTTGTCTATCTCTAGGTTTCTCATATCCTTGTTTTCTATTGTTAGGTATTCGGTTTTCTCTAAGTTTATTTCCATTCCGTTGTTTTTATATTCTTCTTCTAGTTTTCTGAGCATAAAGCTGAGATCTTCTTCATCTTGTGCGATGACTACTTGATCGTCGGCAAAACTTAAGGTGTATAGGTATTCGTCTCTTACTGGTATGCCCATTCCTTCGCCCTTTCTTCTCCATGGTTTGAGTGTCTTTTCCAAGAATATTTTAAACAGAGTAGGGGACGTAGCACAGCCTTGTAGAAGTCCTTTTGTCGTCTAAAATGGATTGTAGGCTTTATTTCCACATTTAATAGCTACTTTGTTTTCTTTTTACAGTGCTTTAACTGCTTTTATTAGTGTTTGTCGGATTCCGAGATCATTCATTGCTTCCCATAATTTTACTCTAGGTATTGAGTCGTATGCTTTCTTTAGATCAACAAACGCCAGATGTATCGGTCTACCTTTTGCCATTTTCTTCTCTATCAGTTGTTCTAATGTGTACGTATGATCTAGGCATGATTTTCCCACTGTAAACCCTGCTTGGTCTTCTCCAATTTTTCCTATTATTTCAGTTTCTAGTTTTTCTTTGATAATTTTCCCGTAAAGTCTACCTACCGACGATATTATACTAATTCCTCTGTAGTTTTCACATTTTTTCCTGTTTCCTTTCTTATGTATGGATGTGATGTATGCTTGTGTCCATTCCGCAGGTATTTCCTCTCCATTTAGTCCTCTTTCGAACATTCTGTGTAGCATGCGGAATAACTTTTCCGTTTCGTTTTTATTTAGTTTGTTTTG